GCTGAAGCTGAGTGGAAAAAAAGGGAACTCCTGTTCCTATTGAGTCCCACTGGGGATGGCCGCGAAAAAAATCGCTTGCTCGTCTCCCGGCTTCTCCGACGCTCAGTTGGGGCTGAGGGAAACTCCTGCGCTCCTCCAGTCAGCTGAAACTGATCGGAAATGCTCGGGGCTGCTGGAATCGGCTAGAGACGGCAGCGAGAGATTCGCTTGCTTGTCTCTCACCCTCCCCCGCTTCTCCTTGAAAGAAAGGTAAAGAAAAATACAACCTGATCTGAAGATCTGTCCTAGAGCCAAAATCTGTGTCTTTACGAGCTAGAGACTAAGTCGAGACTGGGAGCTGGTCTCAGGAAGAGGAGGCGTGGCGATTTGGTTGACTTGGTCTATATGAGCAGAAGACAAGCAAAACCCATTGGTGGATTCTCCACTCGTCATGCTGGAGAATGATCCAATTTTAAGCTTGGTGGACCACATCTTATCCGGGAATGTTCCTTAACTTCCATATTACCAGGTGTTTGTCTCATAAATGGAACATACTTTCTGTTTTGTGCCCACTTCTACTCAGTAGCACTGTACTCTCTTATGGTACTATTGTCTCAATAGAAGCTTTTCCAAACCTTCTGGCAGAATTGTTCTGATCTGTAACTTGTGCATGGCTTCACATATCTTATATGAGGAACATAATTCAAGATAAACAAAAATTAAATAGTTTCACAGTGATAACAGCATGACTGATGTGATTTCTTCTAGATGTTTTGTTGTTCTAATGACAGAAATGGCCTTTAAAGTCTTCTCCTAACTAATGTAGCACATTCAAAAGACTATCGGTGCACTCAATTCATATTACAGTTCCTCAGTGTAAAAACAGATTTAGAGGATTCTTTATTCAAATAGGTCTACAAGGTTTTTACTAATATGAAGCATTACAATATGAATACAGGTTTACCAGGAAATAATTCAAGATCTCACTACTCTCTCTACAAAAACGGGAAGGCAAAAGCCTATGGACAATATAAATTTTGTTTAAAGTCTCCTCTGTGTATATATTTCTTGCTTATTAGGATTCTTTTAAATAGGAAAAACAAATATCTAAATTGCATAGAATATCAGCAATAAGCAACTCATGGTCTGTAACAAATATGTACTATCATCATTATATTAGCAAAACCATATATATTTAATTTATATCTCACTTTTTGTCACAGAAGCTCCAGGCAATGTACACTGTCCCTTCTGCTATTTTTCCCAAAAATTCTGTGAGTTAAGTGGGGCTGAATGAGAATGACTAGCCCAAATCACTCAGCTTCTTTGATTGAGGGTGGACTAGAATCTGGACTCGAAGCCTCCCACTCTTAATCCAATATCTTAATGCAGTGTTTCTCAAACTTGGCAACTTTAACATGGATGGACTTCAACTCCCAGAATTGCCCACACATCTTAAAGTTGAGAAACACTATCTTAATCACATAATACACTAGTTCCCATGGTGACAGAAGGTGCCAAAGATCTAAGGGTCACTGAATTATCAGTTTCACACAGAATTTTAGTTCTCTTCATATGTAGGAATTCACTATCATTTGGGGCTTACAGATTCAACATCATATTAGAGAATACAATTTGTCTTCAAGTGCAATGAGAGTGCCAATTTGATGGGGTGGTTAAGGCATTAGGATAGAAACTGGGAGATTGCCTTTCTCATCCAGCCTTAGGCACAAAGCGAGTTGGGTGACCTTGGGCCAGTCCCTCTCTCAGTTCTAGAAAGGAGGCAATGGCAAGCTACTTCTAAAAACTTTACCAAGAAAACTGCAGAGATTTGTCTAGCAGTCTCTGAGGATAGGACACAATTGAACAGAAGGAAAAAAAATGAAATAACCAAGAGTATTCTTCAAACATTTAAATTTCAGTGCTGTTTCCATAAATATAGCCCAGATTACTTGTGCTCTGTAACAGAACCTCATTGATAAATTACTCTTAGTCATTGCAGTGATTGCAGAGGAATATTAATATATTAATAGAATATTAATTCTATTTAATTTTAAAGAAATGCAAATGTAGGGAAATCAAGTTTAATTTTTGTCTGTGCCACTGGAATTGGTCTGTAATATGCCATTAAAAGCCACATAAACCTCTCGAACCTCTCTGCCAATTAGTATGCCCCTCTAGTAATCCATATTTTAAACTAAAAATAATTTCACACACTATGCTAAATAATAATCATGGTTCACAAGCTACTATACCTGGATTTATATAGCATGCTATGCCAAAACTAAAGAAATATTGATTAGTGCATCATGTTAATCCAACAGAATTAAATAATCTCATTCAACTAAAATCTACAGAAGCTACAGAGGAATGACTAGTATAATTTTTTCAGCCTTCTTCTATGGAAGAACAGGGCTTGCCCCAACTATAACAGTTGCTATCAGACCTCATATGACTTTTTGTTATCATACTTGTCTCTCCTCCATAAACTTTTGACTTCACATTATGCTCTGATAACACCCAAGAGAAGCAGCTACCGGTAGATGATTTTGATTCCCCACCCCCAGGTCTGAAACTAGGCAAGATGCAGACAAGACCTCTGAGTTTTCCTTTACTGCATTTGACAGGCACTGTTTTGCCTCTCACCCAAGTTCTAAACTTAATTGTTGCACTTTGTGCTACACTTGACAAATTACTTAAAATTACAGTGCAATGTCAGAAATGACATGCATAAGCAGGACACTGAAGAAATTTGAGAATAGCAGAGATGATGGCAATCACAATGGTCCACTCAACAATCCTTATTTATAATATCAAACTCTACAGTTCTTTCACCTGTGCAAACTAATCAGTATCCTATCCTCCAGACCAGGGGTGTCAAACTGCCGGCCGGTTTCATCATACCAAAGGTTTCATCATAACAAAGCCTCGTCCACCCCATTGTCAGCAATGCAAAAAGATTTGCATTGCAACATGTCACGTGATGTGGTGAGTTTGACACCCCTGCTCCAGACTGACTAGCTGTCATTCTACTTTCCATTTCTGTTTCTGCATTTGTATTTATTATAATCCTTCAGCAAAATCTATGTGCTACTATATCTTACAAAACTGATGGCACAGTGAAGAGATGTTTGCAAGATGAATTTTGTTTTGTGAGGCCATCTGAAAGGTTTATTCTCAACTGCTTCTTGATATGGCTCGACTTTGGTTTTAAAAAATGAATGCATGTCCTGAGACAACCGAAGTAACACAAGGTTTATTTTTTAAAAGCCACCAAAAACCCTTCTACATTAAAGTAACTCAAAATTTAATCAACAGCATTAAAGTCAATGAAGTTGCAAGCATATCACACATGCCCTTAACAGAACCAAACAGCTATCAATCAATACTAATCTTAAAAATCCTAATTTAACTTATCCCCATAAAAGCTTGAAAAAGTGATGAAAAAAATTTAAATTAAAAGTGGAATTGCTGCAGCTTTGCCAACACATATAAAATTTCCAAATGAGAAGATGTACTGTATATGCTATTAACTGCAGAAGCATTAGCTATATTGCCAAAAAATACATATGGAATATTTTCGCAGCAGAAAGTTATTCAGTTATTCAAGTTTCCCAAATGGAAAGTTTAGAAACTAAAAGAATTCTGCATAATTCAAGATTTACAGAGGGTATTAAAATTTCCCAGACAAGGTGACAAGAATTTCAAAAACTATGTCATTCTCTGGCAAGATTAGACAGTAAAGGTATGGAAATCATTTACTAAGGTATAATCTTATTTCCTACAAATATACAGTCTTCAAAGCATTCTATGGTATCATCTTTAAACTCTACAACTACCACTAAATGAGTGAAATAAGAATGTATACTTAAAACAACTTATCCAACACTTCTTAATATACCACAGTACTGTACTACAATAGTATATACAGAACTCAGTGCTGTTCCAATAAGAAGCACCGGCTTTCCATTTTTTGGAAACAGAACTTTCAACAGCATCACCGTTTACTAAAGAACCAAAATTATCATCAATTCACCTCCTGTCCATTCCCAATTTGATAACATGAAAAAAAAAACCCACCGAAATAATTCCGATTATTCATTAGCAGAGATGGACGTGTAGAAAAGTAAATGGAAAAAAATATATCCCACAGCCTTTTAAAACTGAAAGTCGCATCAGAGATTCCACCAGGAAAAAGCATGTTGCAGCAGCTATAATTTTTGTGTGTTTGCGGGAATTCATGCTCAGCGCCGCCCAACAAAGCGCAGAGGAGCTCGATCCGCACCGCGGATTTACCTGCCAGCGAGGCCACATCGACCTCAACGCGCCTTTCCTCCTCCTCCACGCCGGTGCCTAGGCTCGGAATCATACCCGCCCATCCCCTCGCGTGTTTATTTACCATGTGAGCCCGCTGACTTCCACTGGACTTATTCCTAGGAAAGCAATCCGACAACTGCAGCCTCCGGGCGGCAATTCTAAACCCGGCCTTTCACCGCGGAAGGCCGAAGGGCGAAAGCTGAGATGGTTTTCCGGCGGCTAACGGGGCGGCCCCGCCAGAAGCAATGCCAGATGGGGAGAGGAGCCGCCGCCCCTTCCGATCGAGATGCAGCTCGCAAGCCGGGCGAGGCCCAGGCGGGTAAGGAGCCGGCCGTTCATTCTCCTTCGCTCCCCGGTCGCAGCGAAGGCCCAGAGCGCCGTGATCAAGCCGACCCTCAGCGGCCCCCCGAGTGGCCCCCGGCGAAAGTGGGGCGGGACGCTCCACTCTGCCCGCAGCCAGGACCATCCCGTCAGATGCGGCGGGGCCCTCCACGCCCGGGCGCATCCGCAGGCGCGATGCGGCCACAAAAGGCTCCTTGAGCGCCGTCGCAGCGCCGCCTGGGCCTCGCCCTGCCGGCCGCTTCCCCGCCCACCCCCCATCCGACGCAAGGCCCACGCGCAGCTGCCGTCGCTGCTGCCGCCGCCTCCTCCTCCGCCGCCGCCGCCGGGTTTGCTCGGCCGGGCGCGTCCTTGGCAAGACTCACCGGAGCGGGACCTGCGCGGCGCGGCTGGAGCAGCGGCTGCAAATGGCGCGCGCTCCTCCTCTTCCCTCCCCTCATGGACGGCGAGAGCGATCCCGGCAACGCGAGGGGTTTCCCGGAACTGTTTCCAGGGACTGGGTTCGATGAGCCAATCGGAACGCAGTGTTTCAGAAGGACAGACCAGATTTCCTGTAGACGCCGGGAGGCTGGACTCGACAGTGATTTTTCTAGCCAATCGGGCCCAGGGCGCCTTCTGGCCAATCCGCTGAACGGATAAAACTATGGCGCGCCGGTAAGGTCGAAACGGAGAGAAGGAAAGAAAAAGCAGGATTTCTCTGAAAATAGAGGGGGGGGGGGGTCCCGCTCCAAGCGTAGATGAATTCATACCTGAGGTAGCCGGGTTTAACCACTTCAGCCTTCATTGGCTAGCAAAACCTCTCTCATGGGAGAAAGCTTTCTCATGGCCAAAACTAGACTTGAGAGTTCTTGACAAGCTAGTCTTCTATTTGCAGAGATTATGCCGATATAATAATAATAATAGTAATAATGACTTCTATTATCGTTCTGTGCAGTTAAACTAATAGCCTCTCATTCGATAAGTTTCTATTCTAGGAAAAACGTTGAAATTGAAACTGCAGTCCTAAATACATTTATTAGGAAATAAATCCCACAGGAGAGTATGGCGTAATAATGGAGGTGCTGGCCAAGAGACTGAATTTTAAGCCTTCCATAAAAGCTAGCTGGAGAACTTGGCCACTGTCTCTCAGTCCAATCTATCTTACAAAGTTGTGCAGAAATACAAAGCAGGATTATTAAGTACTGTACGTTCATTGCCTTGAGTTACATGTATACACTGTGTGTGTGTTTGTGTGTACCCAGATGGAGAAAGAGGAGGGTGGGATAAAATCTAATAAAGAGACTGCAGTGTAATCTTGGTATTTTTCCTTAATGATGCTGTGTTCATCAGTGTATCCTAATGACAGATTGGATCCATATTTTAATTTATTAATTATATTAAAATATTATAGGTAGTATTTCTGATCAATTTTTAATAATCACTGCATTTGGTTAACTGTTTTAACTGTAAAATATACTAGTATCTATAGCCTTCATTTTGGATTATCATTTTTACAGATTTTTGGCTTTAAAATACAAGACATTCTAGTTATTTTTTCCTCTGAATTTAGTTATTTAGATACTAGATTTTTGTGCTATCCATCTTGTCTGGAAACCTTAGATTTTTCATCACCTTTCCTCTCTTTGGAGTCACACTATGAGAAGAACAGGGTTTTTTTTATTTTTTAATCTCTAAATTGATAAACTAAGTATAACTGCTAATAATGCTTGAAGGCTATTCTGCCCCAATAAATGATTATTATTTCCACATATACAAATAAGTTTCTGTAACATGAAAGATCACTTTGCCTCTAGAATTATACACCCTTAAAGACGATAGTTAAATGTTCTCAGAAGTTATTTTTAAAATTCTGATTTGTTAATATTGTTAAACTTTTTTATCAGAATAGAAAACACTACATATTCAAGAATATTTTTAAGCTTTACTTTGTACATGAACTAGCCTAGTATTAAAATTCATTATATCAGATGGCTAAACTATTTGCCATTTCTGTTGGATTACCTAGTCCTCTAGGAAATTCTTAAGAACTAGAAAAAAGTTTTTAATGTAATCCTTCCCCCCACCCCAAAAAATCTCTCAATTCCCTCAAATTGCTCCGGACAAGAACAATTTTCCATCCTTGGGGAGAAGACACTGTGTAACAGTATACTTTCAAGCCATAGGAAAAAATAGTGGCCCTTCTGAAATTTACCTGGCAAATTTTTAATCATATATTTCTTCCTCTCAAAAATCATGATTCAAGAAATACCTATCCATAATTATTATATAAGTACTAAATATTTTCTAGAGAAGACATTGACTTTGAAGATAGAGTGAACTGTTTATTTCACACTGTGGTAGGAACCAAATTCTGGGTATTCACAGGGACCATTTTCAAAACAATGCCAGATACCACATCAATAATAGCAGCAACTTAATCATCGTCTTGAAGATTCTTGATCTTGTACTTATGACGTTCAATTTCTTTCTGCAGACGGTCTATTTCTTTCTTATGGTGACTTATTTCCTCTTCATGATGTTTTCTAAGATTTGCCAACTGTTCTCTCTCTTTCTCCCTGCAAAAATATTAGGATAATATATATTATTGTCATTTATTCAAACCTCAGCTAAAATATCATGAAAAATAATGGCACAATTATTCACTTCAAAATGCAGTCCTTACAGCATCTACTAAATGACTACCTCACAGGTTATCCCATTGCTAATCAGCAAATACATTAATATAAAGATGGCCTGGCTCATTTATAAAGGTAATAACATGATTTAAGTTATTTGCTATTGAATATTCCATCTTTCCTTTTACAAACTCAAGACTCATTTCCCCCATTCCTCACAACTTGTTAATGCAAAACATTTTGTTTCAAGTTTGCTGTTCAAAATTCCATGAAATATTCTGCTTTAAGCGTAGAATTGCTTTTTCAACATATCAAGCATTCAGGGATTTAGCTAGGGGAATATTTGGCCAGATGGACCTGAAATGCAATAACTGGAGCATGAGGTGACCTCCAAATCTAACACTATAAATTTGTATGATTATCCTCTGAAACAGGGAGAAACAAATAGGAAATGTGGAGCTAAAGTAGTATGAATAGTTACAATCTTTCACTGCTTTCAGGTGTTTAAAGCAGTTCATGTGCATATTCTAGAGCAGGGGTAGGCAACCTTGGCTCTTTTATGACTCGTGGACTTCAACTCCCAGAATTCCTGAGTTGAAGTCCACAAGTCATAAAAGAGCCAAGGTTGCCTACCCTGTTCTAGAGTCTAGAATTTATCCTTAAAATAAATCCATACAAATAAATTGATATTATCTCCCATATTACAGACAGTAAGTATTAGGGATAAGATGCCTGCAATTTTTTTATAGCAGAAACCAGGTTCATAATTATTGAAATTTATGAATTTAGGTACCATTTAGTAATTACAGGAATAACTGGTTTTTTCCTCCGATGAGATGAAGTCAGTTTATATATCTCTTAATCCCAATTTTATCACAACTGTGAGATAGGGCTGACTGGAAGATGTTTGGTTCCAAATTAAAGTCCAGTGTCCCCTTGAGATAAATTATCAGTTGACTATCTGGACACATCCATATTTTCTTGGCAACATGGAATTAGTTTGCCTACTCTTTCTTTGCTGTTTCAGAGCTAATCCCTCTCACTTCACAGCCAAAGGAATATGACTATCTGCATATCACTATTACTAAAGGAAGACTTGACTTTGGGTCCAGCATCTTCTAACTTGCCTTGTCACCGAAAATATTTATATATGAGACTCTTGTGCAACGTGAGAGGGGAAAGACAGTTGTGGAAAAAGGAAGAGAGACCCAGGTTCGAATGTGTATCACACCAGGGAGACACGTGTTCAAATGTGCTATCAGTCACAGAAGAATCCTGAGTGAGTTTGGGCCACACATTCTCAGCCTTCCCCATACAATTCTTATTACTAAGAAAAAAAATCAGAAATGGAAAGGCAGTTCATACCATCTTGAATTTCTGAAGGAAAAGCAGGTCAGAAATTGAAAATATGTCACTAAATCTAAAAAAAAAGTCATTTACTAAATGAGTGAATTGCAGAATACCATAGATGAGGGTAAAACGGAAGCCCAATCAGTGTTTCAGCCTGTGTTTCTCAGGGTCTTATGTTCAACTCTAATCTATTTTTTTTGTTGTTCTGGCGTGGCATTCCACGGGTAAATCAACTTGCTCGCTAACTCGTGTTTAATGTAATGTGTGAATTCAGACATAACATACCTGAAGTAGCGTTCCTCCTCAGCCGCTTCCCGTTTTCCAAATGCGCCGCCAGCTTCACGGATGGATCCGCCTCCACCCCCGCCTTTTCCAGCACCTCTGCCGAGGTCACCCAGCTCAGGAGGGGAGGGAAAAAGGAGGCATACATTTTAGACGCTACCGCCTTTGCCTCCAGCACCAATTCAGACCCGCCCGCCTCCCCTTCTCAGCGAAGACCTCCCCGAGGCCCTACTGCACTGGAGGCTCTGCAGCCGAACCACCGATACCGACGCTACCTGATCGGAGCCCGAGCTCCAGGCCCGCTGCTGCTGGGGCAAAGCCATCGCTCCTCGCAACCCTGATCTGAAAATCGCACCAACAGCAGCCATCTCAGCTCTGTCCTTGGAAGTGGATGGGTGGGTGTGTCTGACTGCTGGAGGAAAAGGAGGGGCAAAGTGAAGCGAAGGCCAATCGGAGAAGAGGGAACGAACTAGGCCCAATCAGATCCATGCAGGAACTATAGAGGCCAATCGTTCACATTTTGAACTTCCGTCGTCTCAGGGAGCTCTTCTAGGCACGTTTGTATATGGAGAGGCGTGACTTAAAGGATCCGCCCCTATTCTTGGCTTTTCCGGGATACTTTTCTGACATTGACTGTAAACATAGAAATATGTAGCGTGTGGACTTAGACTTACCATGCTGGCTGAGGAATTCTGGGAGTTGAAGTCCACAAGTCATAAAAGGGCCAAGTTTGAAGACCCCTGTATTAAAGGATCTTAATCTTTCCTCGTTTTTGAACGATGAGAAAGATTGATTTCAATCTCTGAAAAATAATTAAATTAGGCTTGTGCGGTCTGCTTGCAAGGGATTGTCTTTTTGTTAGCAAGTCGATCTTTCCTCGTTTTGGGTCCTGGGAATTGAAGTCCACACAGCTAAAAGTGGATGAGGTTGAGAAACACTAGTGCGGAGGATAAAAGAAGAGAAAGGAGCTGACTATGGGTCAGCTTTTCTTGTTCCAAAAAAAGCAAAGAAAAATAAACCAGAAGTTTTGTTGTGCCTAAGCGAGCGGGAGTAGAACTACAGAACACAGTACCGGCTAAGACACAAGAAGGCCTCGGCGCTTTGGTCCTTTAATAGCCGCCCCGCCCTCCCGCTCGGAAAGGCAGATGTTGCGGGTCACGTGTCAGTGCCCATGCGGGATCGGTCCGGATCAGGTGGAAAGGGCGCGCGGCCGGTCACGTGGTACCAGACATGGCGGCTCCGGGCGAGCGAGAGGCGGGCGGCGGCGCTGAGGAGGCGTTTCTCACCTTCTACACGGAGGTATCGCGAACCGGTCTCCGTCACTGCAGCGCGGAGGGACGCCTTGTTCTTCTGGCCCGGGTCACAGGGCTCGTGGCTGTAGTGGTTTCTTCCAGCCGGGTTGGGCTTCTCCCTTCCGGCCGATTGCTGAAGGTGCCGGTGCCTCGCGGTCCTTCTTGCCAGCTCGGCCGTTCTTTCCCCCTTCCTGGTCCCTTCGGATGGAGCGGGTGGGGAAGCGCTGCCTTGCGGGGGCGTTGGGTAAAGGAGCCCTTCTCGGCCTCTCGTGCAAGGCGCGGTATGTACCGGGGCCAAAGAAGCTAGCTTGTCACCTTTGAGGGCTTTTGCCTTCCTGCCACTCGTCGCCATTTGTTGCTCTGGCTGGGGCACATGGAAGCTGTAGTCCGAAGGGCGCTCGGGGCCGATCCCTGCGGTGGCTACAGTTGGCACGGAGCCTATTAATGGAAAACTAGCTAGAAAACGAGATGGGGCAGGGAGCCAAGGGAATTCCATCGCTTGAGTGTAGGAGAGGAACAGCACTGATTGCTAGCCAGTTTTCTTATTTTTCATCAAATTATTATGTGACTTATATGTGACTTAACATATTTAATTATTATTAAATATGTTAAGTCACATATATGTGATGACATGTTAACATTTGCTCTGCAATCACCTGTGCACTTATATGTCCTCAGGATTTGGGCCCAAACTACTGTGATTACAATGTTTTCAGTGGTTCCCAGCTGCAAAATTTCAAACTCCTAAGATTTTGGTCCTGATCTTCCTGCTCCTAAACTTATTCCTTTTCTATTTTCTGCTGATCCCTTACATATATTCTTTATTTTTGTTCATTTTTTCTTTCAAATCAAATCCCAGTTGATTGGTAATACAACTTTAGGATTTTGTTATAACTTTATCACTTCATCAATTGTTACAGCTATTAAAGAGAACAGTATCCAGGTTATTTGCTTTTGAGATATCTTCCCATTCTGTAAAATGGTGGGTTTTCAAATCTTGGACCGTTTGTATGGGGCTAAATGTAAATTTACCTAGTTGTTGCATTTTGCCCTATCTTGTTTGTGGTTATTTGTATAGTATCAAACATTATACCAAGTTCAACCAATGCTGCTTCTTAGAGCAGCTCTTTTCAACCTTTTCACCGATTGTACCACTTTTAGGATATGGCAATATTTGAGCAAGGTGTCAAAAACTTGATGACCAAAAAAACCCAAAACTGTTCAATGTTGCAATTGCACTGAAATGACATGACCATTTTTCAAACTTATGACTATTGCAGCATGCTCAGGGTCATGTGATTTATATTTGGATGCTTGGCAACTGATTCATATTTATGATGGTCACAGTGTCCCCTTTTGCAACCTTTTGACAAGCAAAGTCAATGGCAGGGTTGCTGGTGGCCAAGTGCTAAGGCAGGACTTCCCTCCCTCCCTCTTTCTCATTCCCATCTCCTTCTGAAGGAAGAATTTGAAACCCCCCCCCATATTTTCCCTCTTCCATATATTCATCAAACAAGGGAAAGCCTCCAGAGATAGAAAAGACAAGCAGCTGAGGGAACTAGCTTTAAAAGGTGCATTCCCCTTTAAGAATTAGCTACCAGCTAGAAAGGAAAGTTAAGGAGCCAGCAGCCAGCAGTTAAGGAAGAAAAAAAAATGTAGTAAGTACTGGCTGCTGGCTAAGTCAGCCTCCCCAAATGGCTCCATAAGTAAAGGAATGCTGCAGGCAAAATCAATTCAGGAGAAAAATACTTCAAAATCCCTTGCAGCAAAACTTACAGCTAACAATAGTAGAGCAATAGAATCTAACAGGAGACATCAGCCATCAGCCAAATAGAAATTGCCAAACACTCCTTAAGAACACAAAGCCCACATTGCACAAATCCCAGAACTTCAAAGTCACAAAAGAACATGGAGAATTCCACTCTCCATCTCTCTCCCTCCATGCCTCACCTCCAGCCGATGCTGCCTTTCTTCATTCCTCTCCCCCATTGCAAGTTTCTTACCTGTTTGTTGCTGCCACAGAAGTTGTAAATCAGCTCATGGCCGTCCTGCTTGATCTCCTCTCCCCCCCACCCTCCTCCTCCTTCTTCTTCTTCTTTCCCTTCAGTGCACCTAGAGCTGACTCCAGCTCCTCCCAAGGTTGCCTCTTTTTTTTTTCTCTCCCTCTCCCACCCAAACTGCCTCCTTTTATAGCCTCCCCTGTCTCCACCCCCTCTTCCTCCTTTCTCTTCTGGTGAGCTAGAAGTGAGCCTGAGGCTTTGCCTCGCCTCAGCCACTGCAGCTCCAGAGGACTTTCTCACAATTAAGTCCTGCGCTGGCTTGTTCCCTCCCCCACTACACTTGGTTGGGCAGGGCTGCATACCACCTGCCACGTGCTACTGTACCACAGGTGGGACATGTACCAGTGATTGAAAAGCCCTGTCTTAGAGAGCTTCAGAAGAGGAGAAGGGCACAATTGTAATAACCAACATTTTTTTTTATCCTGTTGCATATATAATATGTGGATTTGGGCATCAATAGGTGGTAGCAAAGAGTTATCTTTCTCTCTGCTGCCATCTAGTGATTCTCTGGTATAGAAAATGGCATCCTTATTGAAATATAAAATAAATTGAAAATGATGTGATCATGCACATAAGTGATATTATTTTGTTGTGTTTATTCAACAATTTAATTCAGTTGGGTTTATTCAGCATACTTAGTTCACTGAGTTGCTTTCAATGAAGTGTACATCATAATCTTCCCTAACAGTGTCTTCCAAATGTGTTGAGCAATAGTTCCTATTATTTTTAGCATTTTCCTGTGGAGTTTTAGGTGTTTATGTCAGTGTCCCCCCTAATCTAATTGACTTTAGCTCAGTTCACAAGATATATTGCCATAATTAATTGAGGCTTTTTGGATTAACCCAATTATTATTTGTATCCCATCTTTATTATCCAACAGATCTTCTGCCTCCTATTTTCCCTACAACAATTATCTGGTGCAATTCTGGTTATTAATCATGTGCTAATTTCTACAGGTAAAGCAAATCGAAAAGCGAGATTCTGTTTTAACTTCAAAAAATCAGATTGAAAGGCTTACCAGGCCTGGGTCCTCCTATTTTAATCTGAATCCCTTTGAGGTATGTTTAAATCTGTTTTCTTTATTCATTGTCCCACCACTGCAGGTTTTTTTGTATAGATCCTGTTACTTGAAAGAGATATGCAAACTAGCAGGGTTCATTCCTGGAACATTCTGGATATGTACCATTTGGCTTTGCACACAACAATTTATTTGCTTGTGTCATACCACTTGTGGTAAACTTTTATATTGGCATGTTAGTTGCTTGCTCTCATAGTGAATCATTTCATTAAAGTATTTGAGAATCCTCCAACGTTTTATTTTTGAACCTAAGGTTTACTCGTTCTTTTATACTACAAATGGCATCACTCTTGATCCCCTCTAGAAATGAGTCAATGAATTAATAAGAGGTAACCTAGTTATTTAGGCATTCACTCTAGATTTGAAGTACATTTTGCAGCAGAGTAAGAATTCAGCCCATCCGTTTAAATTCATACATGCATTTGTGTCTTCTTGATTCACTATTGGAATTTTAACAAGTGGCAGTATAAAACGGTGCTTTTCAGAGTGCCAAGAACCATATTTTCTGGTCCTTTACCCTTTTTGCTACTTTTCCATCTTCATCTTAGTGTTTGATAACCACTGAGCATGCCTAATTGTTGCTGGATGGTTTTAGAGATTACTCCCTGAAGAATTTCCCTACTGAAGGATTTTGGTTCTGTACTTTCTTGATGATCTTAAAGTTTCTGGAGCATGGAGATAACTCGTTTCATGAATAGTGCTGTTTGTGTGTTTTCTAGGTACTACCTTTATTCTGACTCTGTAAACCGCTTAGAGAGGGCTGTAAAGCACTCTGTAAACTTTAAGTGCTATTGCTACTTTTATTTTATTTTTTAAATGTCACTTTTGGACTTTTCCAGGTACTACAGTTGGATCCTGAAGTCACTGATGAAGAAATAAAGAAAAGATTCCGTCAGGTATATGGCTTCTATAGTTTGCTAAACATGGAGAGACCCTCTTGGCAGTTGTAGGGATCAATAAATTTATTTGAGAACTGCAGCTTACTGTTTCATTGAACATATGCAGCATGCAAACTTAAATTTACAAAGTGCTTTGTAACTCTATATAAACATTCATGTGTTTGGAGTTATCCCAATTGCTCTAATTTAAGGGATTAAATTGTTTCATTACTTTGAAAGACTAGTAGTCAATGCAGCATGACTATGCAGAAGGTTAGATAGATAAGCATCGGATATATAATAAAAGATGAAATCAAAGAATAATTCGCCAGGTTATGATTTGGCAAAGAATTATGTTTGGTAACTATGATGCAGAGTTTTGGTTTGTTTCTGTTGTATTTTTTATTGTGTATTTTATTCCCAGATATTCCCAGAGTAGCAACCAATTAGAGTGGCCTATAAATAAATATGCAATTCAATTCAATTCAATCTTTATTAAGGTCACAGACCAGCACAAAAATAAATATGCAAATTTTCTCCCTTCTCCTCATTCTGTTTCCCAAACAGTTAGCAATACTGTTCTGATAGCTTTCTTGAGGTATGACAAAATTTCCTCCAATCTAGAAACTTGTGTCTGAATTTGGATGTTTTGTACTGAAATCACAAATATGAGTACCTAAATACATTTTATAGCTTATGTTTTTTATCAGTGTTTTATCACTTTAAAATGTTTAATAAAGAGATTGTTAGAACATTCAGTATTATAATATTGAATAAATCACACATTTGTGTCCTTTAAGAAATTAATATGTCAATAACTCTGAATAGTACTTGCTACACTTCCCTGGCTATATAGCATTGAAGAAATTGGCTCAATGAGATTGAGGAATGTTTGTTTATTATAACTGGAAAGAAGGGCTTGGTTTATGTGATTATTTCATATATTTTGATATAAGTCCATGTTCTTTAATTATATAGTTATCCATATTGGTCCATCCTGACAAAAACCAAGATGATCCTGACAGAGCACAAAAAGCTTTTGAAGGTACTTCCCTGTTGTTTCTATGTTCAAGATTTCAGGCATTAGCAGTGTATCCAATAGGCAATTCTGATGTTAGCATGAAAAGATAAATTACATGTTGCCTTTTTTGCTAGATTCCTAAAAACAAATATGTCTTTATGTTTTCTCTAGTAGTATAGATTTTTCAAGTTGTATGAATGTGCTGATAGAAATGTTTGGTTTGTCAGCTGTCGACAAAGCATACAAGCTATTGTTGGACCAGGAGCAAAAGAAGAGAGCCTTGGATGTGATACAGGCTGGAAAAGAATATGTGGAGCACATTGTAAGTATCGCACATGGCAGCCAGCCTGTGATCCAAGGGGAGAGGTGTGAACTACAGCAGTTGGCATCTGTCTGTGTATTGCTTAGACTGAAAATTATATATGTTTAAATTATTCCAAAGCTTGCCTATATTTTAAGCAATTTGCGCCACAGCTTTGATGAAGATTAACTGTGATGATAAAGAGAAGGGGCGTTGTCTTACCTGAATGCCTTTTCCAGCATGACGATGGAGAATCCACAGATGGGTTGATCTTGCCTTTATGCCCTAGACCACAGGTCGGCAACCTGCGGCTCCGGAGCCGCATGCGGCTCTTTGAGCCTTCCCCTGTGGCTCCCAGCCTCCTCTGCCTTTGCAGAGAGAGACAGAGACAGAGAGAGGCAATTGCGCTTCCTTGCCTCTCTCTCTCTCTCTCTCTCTCTCTCTCTCTCTCTCTCTCTCTCTCTCTCTCTGTGTGTGTGTTTGTGTGTGTGTGTGTGTATGTAAAAGAGAGTGCACTCACAGTGTTCTCCGAGGAGCTGAAAAGCTCACTGGGCGGAGCTCCTCCCTTTGCTGCGTCTCTGCAGGAAGCAGGAAGGCTGACTCAGGAATTCTGGGAGTTGAAGTCCATGAGTCATAAAAGAGACGAGGTTGCTTACCCCTGAGCTTGTTGGACAACAGCTTGAAGCTTGCCAGGTGAGCAGCAGATGGGGGGGCGAGAAAGAGAGAGAGGGGGGGGAGGGGGGAGAGAGAGAGAGTGGGGGAAGAGGAGTGGCAGACCAAGGGCAGATAGAGAGGGAGGGAGGGAGAGACAGAGAGAGACCCTTTTGACATTTAAAAGGAAGATAACACTGCATATATCCTTTTTTTTACCTATGTGTGTATGTAATTTTATTCTCTTAAAGCATTCTCTTGATGATCATTGTTTTAATAGTATGGATATTCCCAAGAGCCATATTTTTACTTTTATTTTTAATGTGTGTGTGTGTGTGTGTGTGTGTGTGTATATATATATATATACACATACATACATACACACACACACACACACACACACACACACCTATAATAAAGGTAAAAAAGGATATATGCAGTGTTATCTTCATTTTAGATATCAAAAGGATTTTGCGGCTCCCGGTGTTTTTTTTTTTTCGTGGGAAACGGGTCCAAGTGGCTCTTTGAGTATTTTGGGTTGCCTACCCCTGCCCTAGACCACTAAGTCAATCAACCTTTGCCACACTTCTCTCCTTCCGGGTAGGATTCCCCAGTCACGACGAAGGCACAGCAGTTGATGATTGTACAATGTGGTGGTGTAAGGACCCACCCCACTTTGCATCTTAAGAAGATAGAACTCTTGGAATAGTTCTTCCAACAGACATCCTTTATTAAGAGAAAATGGTTGCAGGCGTTCTAGACAGGACTTGGGTTCCAAGCTCTCCCATTCAAGGTTTTAAGGGGTTCCCAGTAGCCCCACCCAATCACCCCCTTCTTCCAGCGACAGTCTCAGGCATTACACTCTCACCCCCTTTTCCTTACTGCCGACTGGAGGGAACCAGAGAAGGCAGAAATGGGGTTTTCTATAGTTGATAACTAGAGATGAAATATAATTGGATTCTGACATCTGGCTCAAATTCCCCTGACACAGGACCAGATGGACCCAAGGGGGGAATGGATTCTCCATCGTCATGCTGAGAAAAGGCGTTCAGGAAAGACAACGCCCCTTCTCCAGCATGACGAATGGAGAATCTACAGATGGGACATACCAAAGCCTCACTGTCACTATGAGTGGGAAGAAGTCTGGGCCTGTGTCCCACTATCTGTTACTGCCCTTTGGAGAACTCTCCTGCCAAATGAAGCGTCAACTGAGGCAAACTTATCTAGCTTATAATGCCTCACAAATGGGGAAGGCGACGGCCAAGTCACCGCCTTGCATATCTCTTTGATGGACGCCTGTGTCGCCCATGCCACCGAAGTTGCCGCACTGCGAGTGGAGTGTGCGGTGATTCCTCTTGGAACTGGCAAGGAGTGTGTCTGGTATGCCCTTGCTATGCAAGCCGTAATCCATCTGCCGATAGTAGAGGCAGTCACCTTCTGACCCAGTGAAGACGGGTGGAATGAAATGAATAGGGCTTCAGATTTGTGAAAGGAGGCAATTCGCTTAATATAGCGATGCAAGGCTCTACGAATGTCCAAGGTGTGCCACTTACGTTCCAAATCGTGGAACGGCTTAGGACAAAAATCCGGCAATACAAGCTCCTGTGTCCTGTGAAACAATGAGTTGATCTTGGGGACAAAGGAGGGGTCTAAGCGTAGGACCACCCTGTCGTTATGAAAGATACATAAGTTCTCTCTAATTGAGAGTGCTGCCAAATCCGAGATGCGCCTAGCCGATGTGACGGCTACTAGGAAGGCGACCTTGAAAGTCAAGAACCGTATAGTAGAGGTTCTAATGGGCTCAAATGAGGTAAAGTGAGAGCCTGTAAGACCTTGGACAGGTCCCAAGAGGGATATCTGTGAACCACGGGTGGTTTGCTGTTGATTGCTCCCCTGACAAAGGAACGCACCATGGGGTGTTGAGCCAAAGGCTCTGAGCTGCCATGTGTTGTGAGCACCGTGGACAGAGCAGCAACTTGTCTGCGGATAGTGTTGGGTGCTAAACCCCTCTTAAGTCTCTCCAGTAAATAATCCAAAATTCTTGGAATAGTAATTGTGGCTGGATCTAACTGTTGCCTCCCACACCAGTTACAGAAATTCTTCCATGTGGAATCATAAAGTCTATTTGTTGCCGGCCTCCTTGAAGCCTGAATCATGGTAATCACGTCTGATGAGTAGGACTCCTTTGCTAGGAGTCTCCTATCAAATGCCAGACAGAGCCACTGGGGCTCTGGGTGTTGTAGAACCCCCTGACTGAAGGAGATTCAATCTGGGGGTATCCTCCATGGAGGAGAGATTGAGAGACTTGGCCAGTGCAGAGCAACGAGTATCACCTCTGCCCATTCCTGCAGTATCTTCTGGAAACTAACTGGATCAGAGGGAGAGGAGGGAACATATACAGTGGCTCTCTGGGCCATGGGCTGCGGAGGGCATCTACCCTTTCTGCCCCTGGAGATGGGAACCAGGAGAAAAATCTTGGGAGCTGAGAATTTGCCGGGGTAGCAAACAAGTGCAGCGCTGGATGACTGAACCTCTCTGATATCTCCCTGAAGAGATCCGGGTGCAGGTGCCACTCGCAGTGGTCCACTGTTGCCCTGCTTAAGAAATCCGCTTGACGATTCGTCTCTCCCGAGATGTGCTCGGCCTTGAGAGATAAGAGGTTGGTCTCTGCCCAGGTTCTCAATAATTGAGCTTCGGCCATGAGGGACCTGGAGTGGGCACCCCCTTGCCTATTAATATGGGCTTTTGCCGCCATGTCTGTGAGGACTAGGACGTGTTGCCTCGCCACTGTGTTACAGAAGTGTCATAGAGCCAGATGTACAGCTCTGAGCTCCAACAGTTTATGTTGTGCTTCAGATCTGATTTGGACCACTGACCCTGGGCCAGCTTTGATTGCAGGTGCGCTCCCCAGTCGAACAAACTGGTATCCAATATTAGGATGAAACAGTTGGGCTCCTTGAATAAGGTTCCCCTGGACATCGCTGAGGAGGCCCACCACTGGAGGGATTTTAGGGTTTGTCACGGGACCCTTACCCTATGGTTGGAAGAACTGGTGCCTAGTCTCTGGAATGGGAGCAAGAACTATTATAGGGTTCTGAAGTGGAGTTGAGCCTAGGGAATTACTGCTATGCAGGATACCATCTTTCCTAGCAATTGAGAAAGAGTCGCTAGGGCAGTGGTTCTCAACCTTTTTAATGCCGCGACCCCCAACCGGTCGTAAGTCGAGGACTACTCAACTGGTGCAGCACCATTTGCAGAATGGGGCTTTTGGCGGGCTCAGCAGGGCAGAGACAGCCTGGACAATTCCAATTGGCTTTTGAAAGCCAATAGAATTAGACTCTATTCAAGAGAGTCTATTCTATTGGCTTTCAAAAGCCAATAGAACAGTGGTTCTCAACCTTTTAAACGCCGCGACCAGGAAGGATGGGAATGTGTAGGTAGGTCTCCGTCAGGTCGATGGACGTCAGGAAGTCCCCCTTCTGATGCCTGATAATATGGATTGGAACGTTTGCATCTTGAACTTCTTGTATGTCAAGTGGATATTTAATTTCTTTAAATCTAGGCTTGCCCTCCACCCTCCCGAGGCCTTTGGAACGATGAACAGAATGGAGTAAAAATCCCGTCCCTTCTGCCCTGCCGGTACCGGTTCTATGGCCTGGATCTCCAGGACAGATGTCAAATGTCCTCTTTCATGAGGCTTCTTTTGCCCAGATTCTTGGATGATGGGCAAGAAACGAAATGTCTTGGGGGCGTGGAGTTGAACTCTAGCGAGAGGCCGAATCTGATGGTATTGAGAACCCAGAGATCTGAAGTGGTGTTCTCCCATTTGTGTGCAAAGAGGGCCAACCTGCCCCCTTAGGGAAAGGCACCCTTGTCACTTGGACCGTCTAAAAAGACGGCCTCCCGCGCCTCGAAAGGGCCGCTAGGCCTGAAATTGCTGTCTGGACCTATCTCTGGTGCCAGATCTGTCGAATTGGCATTCTGGTCTGGGAGGATAAGGGTGGGAGTGATGAGTGAATTCCAACCCTGTGTCAGTTGAGCGAAAGAACTGCGTGCGGGCATAGGGGGTAATTCTCCTGTCTGCCCTCCTGACCAGATGGGACATGACTTTGCGCTTATCCTTGTTGTCAACTAGATAAGGGTTTAATGCCTCTCCAAATAACTGGCCTCCCATGTAAGGGGCTGAGGCCAACCGCCATTTGGACCTAGCATCTGCTCTCCACTGTCTGAGCCACATAAGTGGGAGAGGTAACATTAGATGCTAATGCCCAGGAGGAAAATCTGGCTGCATGCAATGAAGAATCCATCATGTATTCTGATGCAGCCACTATGTAAGGACCCACCCCACTTTGCATCTTAAGAAGACAGAACTCTTGGAATAATTCTTCCAACAGGAATCCTTTATTAAGAGAAAATGGTTGCAGGTGTTCTAGACAGGACTTGGGGTTCAAGCTCTCCCATTCGAGGTTTTAAGGGGTTCCCCAGTAGT